TATTAATTGTAATATTATTATGAGACAAAATTAAAAAATTATTATGATTTTATGTGGTTTTAACTAAATAATAAATTTTTATTGGTATGCAGGATTATGTTAAAAATACCTTATAGAAAAATTTTAAATATTTGTTTCCTTTTTTATTTTGAATTTTTTATACCTGTGTATTTCTTTTTTTTTTTAGTACAAGGCCACAGAAAAATCATGTAGAAAGAACAGGAATCAGGTAATGTCAGATTCCATGAGGAATTGACAGCCTAATGGCGGATCATTAAAAATAAAAATATCGAAGTTTTTTTTGTGAGGCCTGATGAGCAAGCATGTCAGAGTATCTATTTACTTCCCTAAACATGTTATTGAAGGTAACAATCCAGTCATTCATGACCAAATGTCTGACTCTCATAATAGTTTCAAAAAGGGGATATGATTATCATGGATATTATGTTGAATAAGGGAGAGAGCTTCCATGGAATCGAAATGGATATTGATTTTTGTAAATCCCACATTCCAACAAAGTTGAAGCCCTTCTACGATGCCCAAGAGTTCAGTCGCTGTGCTTGGTTGATATCCATGATATTTAGGAAATCCCTTAATCCAATTGCCTTTGTCATCCCTTATGATGCCACCATAGGTTGCAACTCCATTGGATTTAACAGACTTGTCAATGTCAAAATGGATCCAACTTGCTTCCGGAGGACTATAATGAGCTTTAGATCTTTTACGAGCATGACTAAGGATATTGTCTCTAGATTGAAGTCTTGTGTCATTAATAACTTGCTGGCTGCTAGAAAATGCGATGTCTATGTTTTGGTTGATTTCTTTAGAATACATCTTCTTGCATCATGCCTTCCAAATGTTCTAACAAACTTGAGCAAAAAGCCTCTGCTAAGGAATTCTTCTTGTGTTGAGGTTGCCGGCTTCAATTTTCACATTCCAACCAATCTATTCGTGCATAGAAAGAGAAAAGAAAGTATTAAATTTGGATGGCTTAACAAGTTTGAACTAGACATTATGAGCTTCTTTACAGTCCCGTAGAATATAAATTGAGGAGTCGGGTGAATTGCATCTAAAAGAACAAGTATGTAGAAAATGGGTACATCCTTTGGAATTTATAGAATTGATTCAGAGTCTGTCCCATGCAACTTTCCAAAGAAAGTATTTTATTTTTTTATAAGTAGGCCACTTCTAAATCCTTGACTAAATATCAGTATTGGCTTGATCATTTTGAGAAATCAAGGTCTTATAAGCAGATTTAATAGAGAAATTTCCATCAAAGGATGGTCTCCAAACAAGAACATCTTCATCACCAAAGGGGTTAAGTGGCTGCACAAGTGCAATATGCCTTTATTACTTTAGGATGAAGGTGGCGATTTAGGAGGTTAAAATTCCATCCTCCTGAGAGATTTTGAAGATTTGAGACCGTAGCATGGAGGATAGACTCAGCATTAGGGAAAGCATATCTGACAAGAGGTTCTAAGAAAGGGGACCATTTATGGTACCAGAAAGAAATTTTGTCACCCTTACTAACTTTCAAAATTGATGTGTGTTATGAATTTGTCCCAAATTTTGCATATAATATTCCAAGCGTAAGAAGAGGAGTTAGGTTTGTAGACCATAAGAATAGTGGGTTTAAGACATTTATATTTATCACGTAGGATCTAAACCCATAGGTGATTTGGTTGAGATATAAGACCCCAGCAAAGTTTCATGATGTAGGTAATGTTTTGAAACTTGAGAGTTTTAATTCCAAGGCCCCAATTAGTTTTCTCCTTGGTAACACATTCCCAAGAAAGGAGATGGGGTTTTTTTGTGACCATTAAAGTTTCCCAAAGAAAGTTTCTAAATCATTTTTCCAAGTCGGCGAAGACATTGTTAGGGAGCAACATGGTCTGCATGGTGTAGCTAGGAATGGTCGAGAGGACAGAATTAATAAAGGTAGCTTTCCCTACAATGTTGAGAAAATGGCTCCTCTAATTAGCAAGATGAGAGCAAGTTTTGTCAAGTAAAGGAGCAAAAGCAAACTTAAAAGCCCTTTCATAGATAAGAGGAATTCCAAGATATTTGCCAAGGTTCCCTGTGAGTGGAATCCCTAATTCATCACTAATCTGAGAAGCTCTATTAATATTGACATTTCTGGAATAAAAGAGCTTGGATTTCTCGATATTGACTTTTTGGCTTGATGCATCACAAAAATTAGAGAGACATTGTTGTATAATCATAAATTGGCTGAGAGACACTTTTGCAAAAAAAGTAACAAATCATTAGCAAAAAATAAATGAGAAATTGGTGGCCCATTAATAGTTAGTCTAATTGGCTTCCACTTATTTTTTATCTATGGAGCTATGAATACAATGGCTAAGGCATTCAATGCAAAGAATAAATAAATAAGGAGATAGAGGGTCTCCCTGTCTAATGCCACGAGAAGGGGTGAATTCATTTGTTAGTTCTCCATTCTAAAGAACTCTCATGCATGATGTAGAGATGGCAGTTCTCATTAATTTTCTAAAATGATTGCTTAACCCAATGGATTGGAGAGTATCATTAATGAAATCCCATGAGAATCTATCAAAGGCTTTCTCAAGATCCACCTTAAGGGCCATAAAACCTTTATTTCTAGTCTTACTTCTCATGGTGTGTATAATTTCTTGAGCAATAATGATGTTGTCGCTGCTCTATCGATCCTGGATGAAATTGCATTGAGAATCCCCAATAAGATAGTTCATACATCGGTGAAAGCGATTGGAGAGGATTTTGGTAATGATTTTATAACTAACATTACAAAGGGATATAGGCCGAAAGTCCTTCATGCAAGATGGATTATTGACTTTGGGAATGAGGGTAATGAAAGTATCATTTATTTCACTAATGGTGTCTGGTTTTATGAAGGCCTTTTTTATAAGATTGAAAATGATGGATTTAAGTTCATTCCAATATGTATGTATAAACCTGGTGTTGATACTATCAGGACCGAGAGCTTTAAAGGCTCTAATATCAAAGGCAGCAGTCTTGATCTCCTCTTCAGTCACCTCCCTATGAATGGATTAAAGTTGAATAGTAGAAAAGGGTGGAAAGTTCCTATCAAAAATAAGCTTGGGTTTAATAAGAACATCTTCCTTAAAGAGGTTTTCAAAATAAGAAGAAGCCATATTTTTCAAGGTATTTTGATCATGAATCCACGTATCATTATCATCATTAAGAGCTAGAATATAATTTCTTTTCCTTTTGATAACAGAGGTAGTATGAAAAAATTTTGTATTTCAATCTCCCTATTTCAACCATTTGCATCTAGATTTTTGGAACCAAATCAACTCCTGCAAAATAACCTTGTTATATTCTTCCCATAAAGATTTTTCCAGTTTTCTAAGGAAGTAATTATCATTTTGATTCCTTTGAAGATCAATTCCTTCAAGTCTATGAAGGATCCTTTTCGTTTTGGAGGGTATGCTGCCAATATTACTCTTATTCCACAAAGTTACAGAGTTAGCAAATTTGATCTTTCCCTTATTCCAGTCATTATAATGCCAAGATTCCTTAACTATTGGATGGAAAGATTCTTCAAGCATCCAAGTTGCATGGCATCTAAAAGGTTTCTGATATTGGCAATGGCGGTCCCCATTTCTAAGTTGAACTCTAATTGGGTGATGGTCAGAGCCATATTTGAGTGAATGATAAGTGTTAACTTGATTGAATTTAAGTTTCCACTCCATGTTATAGAAGGCCCAATCCAGTCTTTCTTTAACATTTCCTTTTTCCCAAGTAAATCTATCACTTAAAAAATTTAAATCAAAGAGATTGGAAGCATTGATGCAGTCTCTAAATTGTTTCATAGCTCTCCAATTGTATCCATTGCCTCTACATTTATCTTCATAAGAGAGGTAGAAATTAAAATCACCAACAATGAGCTAGGGATTAGTGATATTTTGAGTAATTGACATTATGAAATTCTAAAGAATAGTAAGATTATACGGGTTAGGATCACCATAAACACAAGATAAAAGATAGGAACTATTATTAGAAATAACATTAACCCTGTAGTGAAGAATATGAACATTAGAGTAAATATAATTAATATTAATAATATCATTATTCCATAAGATCCAAATACCACTAGCATAACTGGTAGCTTCAACATGAATCCAATCAGAGGAACCTAAATTTTTAACAATCTTATCAACTCTAGAATCACTAGCTCTAGTTTCAATTAAAAAAGAATTTGAGGATTAAAAGAGTTGGAAATTTCTCTTATACGACCAGGAAAGCTTTTACCGCAGGTGCCTCTACAATTCCAGCAAATAATATCCATAAATAAAAGAAAGGAAGAGATAAACCTAGAAAAAAGATTGGGCTTTCATATGTGGTACCGATTCCTCGACCTCATCGTTGCCGAATTTGTCATTTTCTATATCAACATTGATGTGAGGATTACCATAATCCTCATCCAAAAGGTCATCATCAATAATTTCATCTTTAATATCCTCATTAAAAAAGACATCCTCATCTTCAATGGCTCTTGGGTGTTTTTATTGAATTTCCATGGCAGAATCAAAGCTCAATTGAGTTTCTAGAACAAAATTGGTGTGTAAATCAAGATCAGGTGGCTTACACAGATCATTTTTATCATTTGAATTAGGAGAAAAATTTGAGCTATAATCAAGAATATTGATCTCCTTGGCATGTGACTAGACTTTTGGATCCGGAGAGAAAATAACTTTAGTTGTGGCTTCATTGTTTTAGTTCATGGGTTTGTTGTGATCTGCGTTAATGGGCTTTTTTTAGATTGCCCAAATCCCTCTTATTACATTTAACTACTAAATGAATTCGTTTTATGGGCCTTGAGTTTATGGATTTTGTTTGTAGCCTAACCAGTATGTCTTTGTCCATTGCTATTGATTTTGGGCCATCCCATTTGAAACTAGGCCCAACTTGTGTAAGCTTCTTGCCCTTATCCAGACCATAACTGGTTTCATCTTCTTCGAGAAACTCGGCTGCCTCTTTATTCTTTCTAGTTTGATCTCTCTTACTTCCTGTAAAGTCCTTCCTTCTCCATACTTTTCTGACAACTTTGGCAGAAGGCTACATAGGTAGACCATTGGAGGTAGCTGGATCGCTCATCTTACCGCCATCTTCATGCTCTAGGATAATTAGAACATCAAATCTGGATCTATTCAATGGGTTAGGTCCTTGATTTGGGTGAACCGATTTGTTACCTATTGGTTGCTTTAAGATTCACACATGAGCTGGTCGTTAGAATTTCATCCATTCTCCATAAATTTCTTTCGGTGAAGATTTGGGTAGGTTTTCGATGATCTCTCAAGATGTGAAACTTTCTTTTCCTTAATCGTTTGGCCATCTTGTTGACTAGGTGAATTTTGATTATTTATTTGGTTGAGATTGATCTCATGAGTCTTGCTCTTTTCTTTCTCTCCATTTTTGTTCTTTAGATTATGTGGGCAGATACTTTTGTTGTGCCTATAGCAATCACACCTGAAACAAATAAGATTTAAGATTTCATACTTAACATTGTAAAGTTCGTCTCTGATAAAAATCCTTGGTACAAGTTTCTTTTGAAGGTCGATTTCAACACTAATTTGAACAAATTTTCCCCTTTCTATTTTTCCAGACTCATTCTTATAATCAGCTTCTGAGAGTGTGTTCACATCCACCTTTAGTGTTTTGCTTATGTAATTACCTTTCTTTGTCATAGCATTGAATAGGTATATTATTAAGTCTTACCCAAAGTGCTATCTTTCCGAGAATATTTGTGTTGGGGTTAAAACTTAGTGCCCAACATTGGATCAGGATACAATGATAAAAAAAATGATCCATGGCCCTCCATTGAGAATGTGTTGATATGCTATTTGATTCATAATTTTGATTATGTAATAGCCATTGACCAGATCAATGAGTTCAAAATTTTAAGCTGCCATATCCTTGCTAGTCTAGGCTTGAGAGATTTAGGATTAAGTTAGATTCCCAGAGTGTTAATGACCAGAGCATCCATCCAACGTGTGCATATTTTCTTCTATTTCTTATCCAAGATTTGAACACTAGGATAATGATCCATTAGTTTCTTGGTATTTTCTGAGAGTCCATTTTTGCTGTAATTCCTTTGCTAAGGTCTCATTAATGTACTCATTGTCTTTCCCTTCATTGATTCCATAACAACCATTATAGCCTATCAGTGATTCTTTGTAAGAAATGGAAGCTCTGAATGCTTTGATGCCTTGGAGTAATTGTTCTTTGATTGGATTAGCATCTTTGTCGTGAGTAATCTCAATTTGTATCTCCATAGCTTGAACTTGCTGATCTTGGCTTTCTGTTCCTTTGTCTATCATTTCTTCATCTACCTTTGAGATATTTCGTTTAAGTAAATCAACTTCCTTTTTCGATGTAGGTGGATCTACAGTTGTATCATGTGATTTTGAGGCAAAGAAGATGAAGTTTAGATTGGTAATAGAATTGGAAGACATGTACGCGTGCTCTCTAGAAGGCAGAGAAGTTCTGAAGCTGTTTTGCCTATAATGATTGTATTTCTTTATTTTGTCATTATAATTGACGAACAATTTTGATTTATAAAGTTTGATTTAATAATTTTAAAATATCGTTACAATAATTTTTAGAAAAATTGCAAAAAATCTTTGCAAATATTCAAATAATCAGAAGATCTTTCAAATTACTTGGAAATAACATATTTAAACAAGGGCTATTGTTGCTTTGGAGTAAAATTCAAAGATCTTGTTGATCATTAAAAAAAAATTCCTAGTAAATGATGGAAGGTTTAAATTCCAACTTGTATGTGTGGAATAAATCAAATTAAGTCCAATTTATATATATATATATATATATATAATTATATAATTATATAATATCTAGTATTATTAGGTCAGATTTAAGTGTGCGTGTGTGTGTAAACACTCATGTATAGATTGGGGGATTCTAAATATCTAATTACAGAAATATTGATTTTAATAATATATATATATTAATTTATATCATCAACATATTTACATAATAATAATAATACTATATCAAATATATAAAAAATACATTAAGTTAAATATATGCATTCAATTAAGTAATATATATATATATATATATCAAATTTTTTATATTGAGATTGAAAGGTCATCGTAGCTCAACTAATAAAAGGCACGCACAAAAAGAAAGAGGTCTTAGGTCCGAGTTGAGGCAATGTCACATATTTAAAGAGAAAATTAAAATAGGTTGCTGACATGGTGATGATGTGACATGGAGGTTCAAATAGCTACGATGATATAGCGAAGTAGTGGGTGATATTGGAGTGACGGTCCAACGATCGGACACACAAGTAATTATAAAATAAATTCATGGAGATCCAAATAGCTACCATGATATGGCAAGGTAGTGGGTGATATTGGAGTGACGGTCCAACAATTAGACACATAAGTAATTATAAAATAAATTAGTGATGAAATTTACTTACTAAATTAGTGATAGATATATATGTCACATAAATTAATAACGCTATATGATGGACCCCATGGCACGGATGACATGACATTAATGGTAACAAAGCTTAAGGATGGTAATCATGAGCATGGTGGCATAAAAGGAGCCCAAGGCAAGGAGCAAGGAGTCCAACACTTCCAATCTAATGTGCCTAAAAACCCTTTACAACATATTGAAGATCTAATGATAGAAGCCTGAACTAAAGCCATGAAGCAAGTCTTGTCTAGTCTTGTGCAAGAAGTTCAAGAGCTTGGAGAGCATTGGGGCACTCCTCTCAAGCTTAAAGGAGAGCATCTAGGCATGTATAATGTGTTTAAGATCCAAATTCATGAAAAGTCAAGCCCAAAAGGTGCAAACCCTAGCCTAATGCAATGAAGACTACAAGTGGAGCCTCTTGCAAGCAAGGAGGCATGAAACCCTGGTGAAGAAGTTAAGGGTGGCGTGATTTTGAATCTTTTATAATCCCTTAATTATCTCCTTAATTATTTTCTATTTTAGTAGTTCTTTGACTTGACTCCCTTTCTTAAGGAGCAAGACTAGTCATAGTTTCCTATTTTGAGTCTAGTCAAAGATTAGAATTAATTATATTATTTTTTTATTTCTAAGTCTTGCAATACCATAATTTTAGGATCATATCTTCTAAATTATGTGGCTGAATATTTTCTCCTTTATTTTATATTATTTTCTATCTTCTTTTAGTATTAGGAAATTAGGGTTTTAATTTTAGGAAATAGTCTTTTCTATGAGCCTATATATATTAGGCATGCTCCCTCTTGTAAACGGAAGAGAAGTTGAATGAAATTATTCATTTTAGAGTTTATAAATCTTGTGAGCCTTAGTACTTTGTGGTAGCATCCCGTGTGAGAAACAGGCATGATCAAAAGCGTGATCAACTCTTGTGGCATCTTCAAAAATTGAGGTTCCTAAAGGTAGGTGCTCTAGAGGATCTTCTCCTTGATCAATATCCCATTATTTATTTTATTCCTTTCTTTATTTTCATCATAAATTTCATCCCCTTCTTTTTGTTCTTGTGTTTTTGTTATGTTTTAGGGTTCTGTCCCTAAACTAGCACGATTCTGCTTATGCGTCCCTTATCATTATGTTTTGGCAAAAATTAGTATTATTAGTGATAGATTTTTCTAATTAATTGCAATTTTTCTAGTAGTGCCAAGTGGGTATTATCCAAAGAAAACAAGTCTTGGGTGATGATTGTAAAAACTGCCCAAGAGGGAGGTGAATTAGGCTAATTAAAATAAAACAAGTAACGCAGAAATAAAGATACATAAGGAATGATATCACTAAACAAAGCTGATTGAAGAGAAGAGAAGCTTTGTACAGAGAGTTTATACTAGTTTAACTCTATCCACCTGAGCCTATGTCTAGTCCCTAAGGCACTCTTGAGATTTTTCACTATCCACCAAAATTAAACCGGGCTCTTAGTTACCATAGTACAATACAAAGTTGTTACTAAGTTCAAAACTCTCCCCCTTATAAAGGTGATTGCAAATCTCCTTAAGCTCCCCAAGCTTAAGTTCCTTTGTTTTAGATATGAAAAATAAGGATAAATAGAGTAAGTTTAAGAATGAAGTACTACTATTAAAATCTATCTCGAAAAGTAAATTTACAATCAGTGAAGCTCACAAACAATGGATATTGCAGCAAAAAGTTGGTTAGAAAAGAATACGTATACTTGTACAAAATCATATATGTGTTCGCTTCATAGATAAGCCGTATTTATAGTTGACATTGAGAGTAGATCCATTAGACTCATGTAATTAGCCTTGGAGCATTGTTCTTCTTTCCTTTTGTGTTTCTCTGAGAATGAAGTGATAAAACATTGCTTTATGACAGAGTTGCGTGTTTTTGGTGACTTTAAAAAAGTAATGACTATATATATTTAATGCTCTGATAAAATTACTGTTGAGATGAATGCTGTTTGGGTATAAAGAAAAATTAAAGATTGAATAAGAGTTTAATCTGACCTGAGAATGTGTTTAGAAGGCTTCTAGAGATGACTATGAGAGCCCAACACTTAGAATATGAAATAGATGAATAATGAGTGAGCTTCGAATTGCACAAAAATGAGATCTAAAAACATAGCACAAATATTCATAATTGTACCTATATAAGCTATTTGTACTAGTAAAAGCAAGAACTTATATGTAAAGAAGTGCTAAGTTACTATATGGGTATAAAGGATTTATAAGAATTGATAAGTTCTTAATCCAACCTGAAGTTGTATTAAAAAGGATTCTAAGAAGGTTATAAGGTTAACACAACTCATAAAAAATGATATTGAATGAGTTTTGAAGAGTATGAAATCAAAATATGAAGAACAAAGCATACTTCTTTATGTTTATACTGCAATAAGCATCACTATACTAGTATAAGGAAGTTTTGTATGGGTATAAGGAAGCTTTGTACCTAAATAAGCATTCAAGACAATATAAGTAACTTCTAATGGGTATAACTCTTTCATTTTAATTCCAAATCAGACAAATACCTATGTTTGGAAAGATCTGGATATCTAGTTTCAAACGAAATAATACCCAAGCCCAAATTAAAAGTATTTTGAGAGATGTGATAAAAATGGTGAGCAAAGGTCAAAAATGTTTTTCTCTAGGTCTGAAAGTTTCAACAGCCAAATTTGAAAAATTATATTTATTTCATATAAA